AACTATGGCGGTCTGAAGCACGATTTCGTATTTTGCAACAATAGAGATACAATTTTGAGATTTTTGCAGCGTTTAGTCTATTTACTTAATGCACAATGTACATAAATTTAAACTGGACAGGCGCTATAGTCGAGTGGTTAGAGGTGCGTACCACCAGTCCTTACGACCTAAGTAAATTTGATCCCTGGTCCGTGCAATATCTAAAAATATAAAAAAATAACTTTTTTACTAACAGCGATTTCAGCTCTCGCCTGACAAGGACAAACATCCGAGTATACATATGTCTGCCTTGAAAAAGATGCTCGTTAAAACCATTTGCTGCTCGGTACACCACAAATTGTTGGATGAGCTAAGCAAAGGTGTAAGCGCCATATATTTTTTTGATTTATTTTGGAACGAATTTCCGTCATCCCTTGTCTAGTTTGGTTTGCAGACAAACCGGTCTCGGCATTGTGCCATCTTCAGTGTCATGTTTCGTTCGTTATTTTGTTTGTTCCATCGGATTCTCTCCTTTTGTTAAAGTCAGCGCGGGTGCACTGTGCCTATTCAAGTTGAATCAAAAAATTAAGCAGATGTTTGGCGTAGTTTGATTAAAATACATAAAATTCAAAGTAGCCAAGGTACTTTCTTTATTTTCAACACATTTAATTGGCCATTCTTCAAAATAGAATTCAAATAAAATTCCACCGATGCCCAGGCGTCCACATAAAATCTCGTATTTGGAAACAAAATGTGTATTTCAGGTTTATTGGGATGTGATTTTATACAATTTCGTCATGTACATACATAAGTTGAGCCGTTGTCCAATTTTAATTTTCAATACATCGATAAAAGTGTAGTCCCCACTTTTTTTTCTTACAGAAAAAAACCACAAAAGTTTAGACATTTTTTTCACCGAAAAATCTTGGAATTTCAATGAATCAATTTTTCAGGCACGTACATACACTACCGGCCAAAAATATTTGCCCAGAGAATTTTTCACAACATACGTATGAAACAATTTTTATTTCTTCGGCTTGTTTTTTATAAAAATATGGTCCATATTAGAAAGAAAAACATAAAAATGCAATTTCTAAACTTTATGCAGAATTCAGGAAAATTCATAAAATTTCCATGCAAATTTTCAACATTTTAATAAATTTGTTGGAGAATGCAGTTTTGTAGCCCATTAAATTTTAGTAAAAAAAATAAAGTTTGAAGTTTTTAAAAAATCGCTTTGATTTTTAAGATTTTTTATTATTTTTTTTTTTGTTGAAGGTGTTTCGCATTTTTTCCATACAAAGCATTTTCGATTTTTTTTTTTTATGGAAGCAAATGCGTGAAAAATTGCGAATAATCAACGGTATGTCTAGCTGCTTCAACACTTTATTATACTAAAATTTAATGAGCTACAAAACTGCAACTTCAAAAGAATTCTAAAAAATCGGATCAATAAGTTGAAAATTTGCACGAAAATGTATTTGATTTTCCTGAATTTGTGCACAGAGTATCGTATTTTTTTGTTTTTTTTTTTGTTGTAGTATTAACCATATTTTGAAAAAAAAATTTGGAAAAAAATGTTTGCATCTGTTGTGAAAAATTCTCTGGGCAAATACTTTTGGCCGGTATTGTATATGTGCACATAACATGTCTGGTGTGAGAAATTTGCTTTTCAATGATATTTCGTAAATGAAAATCATGTTCAAGATTTTATAAAACATGTATTGATAAGTTTCCGAAAATCATAACGCACTCTCGCTCACTAATGTCACGGTATTGAGACAAAATATTCTTGTTATTTATTTATTTAATTAACTAAATGTTTGCAACAGAAACCAGGGAAACATAGAACTAGAGGATCTTTTGTATCGCCTTGATAAGTTCCTAATATCGATGGCCCACGATTCTACGAGCCTCTAATAAATCCCCATAAAATCTTGCTAGACGAATTCCTGATACTAAGAGGTTCGACTGTGGAAACAATAAAGGATTGTAGTCTCAGTCTGACCAATCCGAATAATCACACATAATGTGTTCAGTAGTCTCCTCCTCTTTAAAACAAAGTCGACAATCCGTCTCGGTGAAAATGCCAATCTGTTGTATGTGAGAGCTCAGGTTATTAATATGCCTTTAAGTAGCCAGTAAACATATTTATGTTGGTTTCATTTAAGAGCTTTATGTCTTTCCTATCAAAGAGCTATCCAAAAAGTCTGGCCCGTCTAAGACCCTTACCGCTCTTCACTTACTCAAGTCCTAAATTTGCCCGCGCTGTGATTATGAGTATCGCGAGTAGGAGGAAATGAGCCAAACGGTTCCGGTACCACAAGCACAGACGATGAGCACATCCTAGCCGTGTTTCTTGCTACAAAGAGTTGAGGTGTGTCGAAGCAGAACTTGACGAGCCCTGGAGCCTCCATATTAGTTCCCTCTTGGATCAGAACCATTTGACCAAACCTCTCGGTCTGCGAATTTTACTTTGTATTTCCTTCCAAAGCAGATTTCTTTTAGCATGCGGTCGCAGAAGCCGTATATTACTGGGCCTGATTCTTGCAAATTAAATGTTTTGTGTGCAGCCATAAAAAAATTCTGATTTTTTTCGTGAGGCAACCTAATATACAATCGTATGAAGACTTCAAAGAAAACATTCAGATCAACCATGAGTAAAATATTGCTGGGGATGGCACCAGGAACAAATTGAGCAGAAAACAAAGACGACAAGTGGCGAGACAAAGCGCAAAACATGAAATAAGACATGAGTGACAAAATTAACTTGCACCCATATATTTATAAGGATGTAAATATTTGCAAAGATGTAAATTGCATTTTCATTACCAAAATATTTTGTACCTTTCTTTTTAAAAAATATACCAAATCATAGCATTTTAAATGTCTAGATACAAAGTCGTCAATTGTGGTGCAAGCAAATTGTAATAAATACTATATTGAATACAAGTTTATTTAGTGCTATTTCATTGTCATATTTAAAACAAAACAAAAAATCACTTTTCGCCAACCAAAGTCTTCCGTACCGCGGTCTTTGCACAAAATTCGTTTTGCACCCTATTAAAGATTGAAAATTTATTTACGGCAAATATTTGTAAATATGCACATACAAGTATAATCGCGATACATTCATTAGAAATTCTGTTCGACTGACAGCTGTAGCATTTCTGATTTTCTATTTTGATTTGTATAAGGAACTTTATTTTTTTCATGAAATGTTAAATGCTTTCATGGCATTCTACAGCGTCTATCTTTGATGAATATCACAATTAATAGCGTGAAAATTTGTAAGTATTTTTAAGTGGTCTAGCGGAAATTGACAGTGTGCTATTAAATTATAGTAAATTATTGTTATGGCTATTAGCGGACATAATTTACGGCGCTTTCTTGTTAGGCAATTCATTTATAGGTAAGCGGATGTAAACCAGATTGTGAAAAAAGTTCGAGATTTTGTATAATCTGCAAATTGTCATGAACAACTTGTCTACCTTTGATTCATGATTTGAATTTTAAATTTTGATTCATCGAAGGCTTAGTATCAGATTCTGACATAAACAAAAAATTATAAAAACAAATTTTTTCCAATTTTTCTTTCATACATTTTTTTAAGTAAACTGATAATTTTTTCGTAGAAAAATTTAAGTTGCAAGTTTTTTCCTAAAAGTTTCTTTTTGAATTTTTTTTTTTCTTATAAGAAAATTTTTTTTCCCCATAAGTAACTTTTCTTATGAATAGTAAATTTTTTCATAATTTTGGTATAAATTATTTTCCTACATAATTTGTTTTGTCAAACATTTTAAAAATATATTTTTACCAAAAATGATTTTTTCCTAAAGAATGCTTTTCCACCAAATATTTTATTCAAATTTTTTATTTTTTCTAAACAATTTTAATTCCCAAAAAAAAAAAACACTCATATAAATTTTTCTAATTTTGATAAAAATATATTTTTTTATTTCATAATAAAAAATGGGTAATGAATATGAGGTACATTCTAAAAACAGAAAATATTAAAGTACTACAACACACAAATTCCTCGCAGGGGTTTTTGGGAAATATGTTTCCCTTGTTCTCGAAAGAGTTAAACGAAAGATGATTAAATTTTTTAGGCTTTAAATTTTTATTTAATTTAATGATATTTTTAATGAAAATAAAACTTTGGGATTTTCTTTGCGGCTCATGAAAAGTTTCGAAAGCATGAAGCCATTGATCGGTTTTAATGAGACTACGTACAAGGGGGTTTTTGAGCACGCTGAGTACGAATCTGAAGTCAGAGTTGGAGAATTCAAAATGGCGGATGATTAAAAAAAAAACAATTATAAAATTTTTACCCCTAGGGGGGTTTCGGGCTCGTTGATTACGAATCTTAAGTCAGATTCGGAAAATTCAAAATCGTGGATGCCATATTGGAAGTGAAAAAAATAACTTTTTTTTGTTTTTTGTGGAGGTAGGTCCAGTGTTACCTAAATCAGGTACTCTCCAGGTACCTAACGAGCCACAACCAACTACGATTTCATGTGCACCGAATAGGTGTTAACGGGGAGTCGTAATGCCGTCTCTGCCTTGAGAACGAGGAAACTTAAGAACACATTCTTTTTGACAGTCCACCCTTGGCTAGACAAGGATAACTTACTTCACAGCTCCATTGGTCAAGCTCTTAGGCCGAGGCAACGCAAAAAGCGGCAAAGCGGCTGAGCGATGAGCGTCTTAAAATTAAAATATCTGTTGTACTATTGAAGTGGCCACACAGTGAGCGGCCGGCGAGCGGCATTTCTGACTGGTGGACTGCGCCGCTCAGGAATAAAAGCTGCTGGCATACTGAGCTTTTTAGAGACACAAACGAACTCTTAGGTCGCAGTGTCTCTTCTTCTGATATACCCGTGCATTTATCTATCTATCTATACAGGTCCAGTATCACACAACATGGCATATACTTTTAAGCTCAATACTTTCTCTTTTCAATACCTCAAACATATCTAATAGTTAAGCCAGCTAATTTTATTTATTATCTATTCCAGGGGAACAAATTTACGGAACAGCGAAAGAAACGTAAAAAGGACGAGAGTTGGATCTTCTTGGCAGCGTGTCCAGTTGGGAGACAGTTAGACCGGAGAAAGCAGGGATAGCGCGGGACGAGAAAGCAAAAGAGTTATTGCGTAGAGAAAAACTAAGGAATTTTGAAACAAAAATCAAAACTTCTAACGACTTTCTAATTGGATTTTAAAGAAAGTGTTGCAAGGAGAGTTCGAAATAGAGATAGAAGGATAACTACAAAAAGCGCGCATATCAAAAGAATTGGTATATTTATATTTGATTCTAGCTACAAAAACAAAACAAAAAACACATAAGCAACGGGAAGTAAGGAAGGCTTAACCAGCTACGAATTATTGCAAAATTAAATTTTTCAAAAAAGTTAAAGAGGAATTAAAAAAACAAACAACAGGGATTTCAAGCAGTAGAAAAGCAAAAGCAGGTTTTGTGCAAACAGAGCAAAACAAAAATCAAAGCAAAAGCTGCAGAAAATACTATTTTTGAAAAACTTTTTTCTAATTACTTTTTTGTGATAATTTTTAAGATAAAAAACGCAAAAAATATAACTACAACTAACAAAACTTATTAACTTTCAACGGCAAAATAGAAAATATTGTACTTAATTTTAAATTTATGCGCTAATTACAAAACGATTTCCGTATATAAGCTTCAATTTGCACATTAAAAAGTCTTAAATTATATTTATACAAAATATTTACACAACAACAAGGAAATTAACATAAAAGTGCTGAAAAGCTAAAGTGTTAATAACACAACTTCCCATATTTGAAAGTGAAAGAGCAAAAACAAAACAAAAAACGAGGCAAAATTAAAACTCAAATTCAATTTCGAGACTAAAGTACTGCAGTTTCAAACAACAAAAAATAAATCTGTAAAATTTCAAAGCAGCAGCAGGCGATCAAATTCTAAAGCGAAATCACTTATAAAGCAGCAAAGTAAAGAACGAGAAGCATACACAAAACAACCAAACACCTCAGCGTTTTAAAGCAAAAGACACACCACACAGCCGAAGAGCAGAACAAAGCACAGTGTGCGGCGCGGCGCGGAGCAGAGCGTAGAACGCGCGTCACTAACGTACTTCTTCTTCTAGTATATTCAATTGGTTTCTAAAAACCGAAATCTCAACTGTCCTGTGCGCAACTATCTTCAACAAAACAAAACAAAAAAAAGCACACACACATACACATAATTGTATATTTTTTAAATAAATAAATTTTGTTCTTAAACAAACGTAAGCTAATGAGCAACATGCGTCAAAAGGATTTGCGCCCAGCACCTGCTCTTATTGAGTTTAAGGGCATGAAGTTCCTAATCACCGATCGGCCATCAGATGTAACCATCCATCATTATATAACGGTTAGTTTGGCATTTAGTGCATTTTTATTTTATCTAAATTTTTCACAAACTTCTTCGTCATCTTTTTTCCATCCACATTTAGGAGCTTAAGAAGAACAACGTTAGCACAGTGGTGCGCGTATGTGAGCCCAGTTATAATACCGATGAGCTAGAGGCTCAGGGCATCACAGTTAAGGATTTGGCATTCGAGGATGGCACTTTTCCGCCACCACAAGTTGTTGATGAATGGTTCGAGATATTGAAGCAAAAGTGAGTTTCGTTTGCATTTTACTTATATATACATATGAATTTATGTTATAGTTTTGTTCTACTTATTTGTACAATTTTATTTAATTAAAATTTGTTTTGTTGTCCCGTTTTGCTTGCCTACAAGTGGTTAACACTCGCATTATTGTAAAGCCTTAAATGCGCCGCAAAATCGCAAATCATTTGCATTTGCATTTGCATTTGCATTTGCACGAAAAACGCAAGCTTACATCACATATTCATCTAAAATTTTTTCTTTGCGTTTTGAATCACAGCTTTCAGGCAGAGTTCAAAGCAGAATAATAACGTATTTCTGCTGAGCATTAATTAAGAAAATGAATTAAAAAACCCCCATGTCATTATGTACATATATTAAAAATAGCAGCCATAAAGGTTATTTGCCAAAACGCATCAATACAAGTCATCAGTCTAATTTAATTCTAACCATAGATGAAGTTATCCAATGTGCGCAAATTATTTGCAAATTGGCATTTCTTCGTGTTTGCGAAAGTAAGAATTTACCATATTTTACTATTTGCTATTTTTCTGACGTTATGCATTAAATTGCACAAATTTTAGTGACAAATTTGGGCATTAAAAAATACTTGCGATATTACGTCAAGAAAATTTGTCATTAAATTCGTTTCCACATCGTTATTTGAGTGGCTAGTGGAAACTCGGCATTATATTTTTTTTTTTTTGTAAATTTTTGAAGTCAACGCCCTGTTCATGGCATTTTAAACTTGTTTGGCTGTCTTACCATATTGGAAAACCCAACTCCCTTCGTAAGCGCGAGCACATTAAGCTAGCATGAGTACCCGCTCACAGGGCAGTAGAGCGTAATGAGACGGCGGACTCTCTCGCAATCGAGGCGGCAGCCATCACTCCCATTGGCTCCCAATACTTTTAAGGAGGAGCTCTGTAAGTTGAGGAACGCACAAAGGGATCCAAACTTACGTGGGTCAATAGAATTACGCCAGGCAATGAGTATAAGTAAGAGATTCGAAAACTTAACTAACCTCCCAAAAGAGAAACTTAGAATACTAATTTGGTAGCGTATTACTTCGTCGGACATTATTAAAAATCTTAGTGTCGTATCGTTCTATAAAATACTAGAAGCTGATGAATAGTACAAGCCTCCTCACAAGCATGCCACTCAGCAAGTGAAGCCCTAATTTCTAAGTGGAATTACGCAAAAGGTAAAAATTGGCAAAAGGTGGATTAAAACTGAACGGAAATGTGATTTTGAGAGCTTGTCCAAATTTATCATATCATAATAATGATACCCAATTGTTTATTTTCCCATTTAATAATACTAACGTGTTTTTGTGAGTCCCGCATTGCATTTTTTGTGGTTTTTGGTGGCCTACAAAAAATTGTTAATATTAAAAAATGGTTAAATAAAAAATTGTGTATTATTCACTGTTGTCTTCTGAAGCGAAACAGAGTTGACCTTTCGAAAATATTGATTTTTAAGAAACAATTACGAGTTTACTTTTATTTGGGGCACCCTACTGTACATACATATGTATGTACAAAAATTAGTTGAACGTTTACGACACATTTTCAGTATTCATAAAATCACACACACATAAATGAGTACATCTTGCATGAAAGTAATTTTTTCGTATAATCAGCATCGTATTTTTGCAGTTGCAATTTAAAACAATTTAATCTTTACTATGGCAAAATATAACAGCATGTTGTCAATTTTTTTCTTTGTTTTACAAGCTTACAAATCTTACACCTAAATACACATAAACGCTTATATATTATTTTTATATTGCAATGTAAATTGAGTGCTTTTGTGGGTCTCAACTAATTGGTTGGCAGATCTCGTATTTGGTAAAAACATAAGTAACATTTTAATTACTGCTTTTTCTGCTCTATTCCCGAAATGTTTCGAACATTCGCTGTGCTTTTTTCTCTTGTCCCTACTAACTCGCTCAATACGACTTCTGCCATTATAAATCCAAAAAAAATATATATATATCTGACTAATACTATTGTAGTTATACTATAGTCTTCTTAGCTCAACTAGTAAGTTGTCTCTCTTTTTCTAACAAAAACTAAGTCGTTGCAAATTTGTTGATTATAGTTTCTTTTCTTCTTTATCTCTCGTTTTTATTAATTGCGAAAAAAACTGCATGGAAACGTTAACTATTTGTTTAAAAATAATTAAAAAATAACAAAATAAATGCTAAAAACTCGCGCAACAACAACAACAACTTCTACAAATCCTCGGTCTGGCCTAGGTTTAGCAATAACCACACAACAGCCCCCTCTTCAAGTACTACTCCTTCGACGCTTAGATCCGCATCGGTTTCATTTTATAGGAATAAAAGGTTTTCACTTAAAAACAAACATAGGAATGATTATGAGAATTTAGATAATTGTAATGCCATGAACCACAACGCCAACGATGATGATGATATTGATATGGCAACAGGCGATACAAATGCCAATAATGCTAATAATGATGAATGTGATAATAATGATAATGAAAATACCACTTGTAGGTAAGGTGTCTAAACACATACATACATGCATAAATAAACACATACTTGCATACATCTATCATGCATACAAGTGCACACAAACCCAAAACAAAACAAAAAAAAAAAAAATGCACAAAATTTCCGGAATTTCTACATGCATCTGTATGTAGCAAGCATTTGTGCTGCGCGCTTACGCATTCGCGGAACACAACTGCACACAAATTAATTTGAGTTATTCGATTTTTGGTCTCGTAACTTAAAACCTAAAATTATGTTTATAGCTGTAATGAGTAATGTTAAATTTTTAAAATTTTACCCCTCTCACGCAGGTATCAACAAAATCCGGAAGCTTGCGTTGCTGTACACTGTGTTGCTGGTTTGGGACGCGCCCCTGTTTTGGTCGCATTGGCGTTGATTGAATTGGGACTCAAGTATGAGGCAGCTGTAGAGATGATAAGAGAGTAAGTATTATCGAAATCGGTTGGCAATTAAAATGTTAATAGTTAACGGGATTGATATATTAGGGGCGCACAACGCACCAGCGATCTACTCAATCCTTCTGATCCACCGTAATGAAACGACCAATATATACAGTGGAGGTCGCATAATTAAGGACACTACTTCTTTACATGTTTTGGCCATTTATTTTTTCTTTATTTTCTTTTTAAGACAAAAAAAAATATAGTTTATACCACAACGAAAACCAAGTAACTTGAAAGTTTAAAACCTTATAGAAGATTTTATTCTCATTGCGGTTTGGTTTTTTAAGCATTCAATGGGAACAAAACTTCCAGAACGGCATTTAGTTTCGAGCATACCTTTTGTTCCCAGTCCCTGGAAAAAATAAATGGTAAAAACTTGTAAATAGGTGGTGTCCCTTATTATGTGGCCACTAATGAATGTACACATTTATCCCGCCAGATAAGTAATTGGACAAAACATTTTGAACTAACATGAAAATAGCAAACGAACTAACTGATTTGGTCAACTTTGGATTTTTATATCTACCGAAAGCATCTACCACAGATACGTGTGTCAACACTCCAAATTTCAAAGTCGTGTGACTTGTTTCGAAGTTATAGCTGATTAAAAATTTCACGCTTATGGGAAGTGCCACGCTGCCTTGTCAGATCCCATTTTTAAATACGCCACCCTATGGTCGAGGTCACTGTCTAGATACCAGTGTAAGCCCCATGAAAATCCATTCTGTAGTTTTCGGAGATTACTGAGTTCAAACAGACAAACAAACAGCTTTTCTACAATTTTATTATAGTATAGATAGATAGATAGATTCGGAAAATACGAAATCGCTCGCTTTTAGCTGAATCCCCTAATAGTAAAAATACGCCTGCTCACCAAATATCTGTCGGATATCTCCAAAGCTTCTTCTTTACATAAACAAAGATTTTAAATTTATTCTTAATTCGAACTTTTCTTTTTTATCTTTACAGTAAACGACGAGGCGCCATTAATGCCAAACAATTGTCATTCTTGGAACGGTATAAGCCCAAGGCTAGGCTAAAGCACAAAAATGGCCACAAGAATTCATGTTGCGTGCAATAGATTTTCCAAAACCATATAAATTCCCACCAGATGAAAAGTGTTCATTTTTAAAGAAGAAAATAAAAACAAAAACAAATGTTAAAACCAACAAATGTGAAAATATACTACATAAAGGAAAGTAACAGCAGCAAAACAGCAACAACAACAAACCGCATCAACAGCAACCAACAGAAACAGTAACAGCAACAACGCAATATAGCAACAAATCAGCAATAAATAAAATCCATTTAAAATGGCAGTAAGCAGCAAATTTTTGTATGTATGTATGTATGTATGTATGTGCACCAGAAAGCAAACAAGCAGGCAAGCAACAATAGCAGCAACGACGATGATGAGGAAAACAAACAAACAGAAAAACAATGCGCTGCAAGGCTCCACTTGGCAGGACTAGGGGGGGATTACCAGCACGTGCAGGGAGCGCAAACACACAACCAGTTACAAAACAATCAAGCACGAAAAAAATATGAATTCTGCGCCGCAAAAGCAGCAGCACAGGCAATCAACAAAAAAATAAAGAATACCAGCTTTGAATTTGCAGCATACCAACAGGCGTGCAAGCACCGCCAAAGCAAATGAAGCGCGCACAGTTAACTTGTGCCGCCTATTACAATTTCCCTCTTCACCATCTACAACGCTGTAATTGGATTGACTAAACTTTTCGCTTGGTGCTTGGCGCTTTTCGTTTCTTCTTCTCTTTCTCCATCAGCTACAACTCGCTGTAAGGAGCATGTCCGCGAGTGAATCGCGTGCGTACATGCACATATCCAGTCAGTTAGTCAGTCAGCTAAACACCAAACACTTTTCTACATCAACTTTCACAACAACAACAACAACAACAACAACGGAGCAGAAATAACAACTGCAACAAGTCAAATATACTGACAATGAACGCCAACTCGTATTTTTTTGTCTTTAAAGTTCACTTTTTATTTGATGATGATGATTATGATAATGATGATGTTTTAAAAGCAAAAAGGATATTTGATTTTTTTGTTATAACTAAGAAGTATAAAGCTTGAAATGTGTTTTTTGTAAGCGCAAAACACACACACACACACACATAACTAGTAGAAAAACAGAAAATGTAAAGACGAAAAACGAAAACAATTCATTATTAGTTTTAGTGTTAAACAAAAAGAAAAAAAAAAGATATTTATATACTAACAAAATACAAAATGCGTAAAATTGTTTTCGTTTTTTTTTTTTATTTTTTTTAGTTATATTATGCACTAGATACTTTTTCTTTTCTTTTTTTAAATTAATATACGCACGTATTTGTACTTATAATCAATTGTAAGCATACGCAGAATGTGCAAAAATAAAATAAATAACTAATTATAAAAAAAAATATAAAAAACAAATTTGAAACGCTATGTAAGGAAAAATCGATTATGTATGATATGCGCAACAATAAACAAGTAGGAATCGCTAAAATTGTAAAAAAGAAGAAACAAATTAAAGCGAACATTGTTCCAAAACAAAAATAAAAAAAATACAAAAATAATTGTGTGTTGTATTTTTTTATTGTATGCATTTTGACACCGTTTTTACAGTTAAGAGAAATGTAGTAGATACGAAAAAGTTCGTATCGGAATTACTTATGTTGAGACCTAAGAAACGAAGTTTGACGCCAAAAAGTTTTTAGTTTGTGGCAACAAACAAAAAAAAAAACACTTTCATAACTATATCTGATCCTCGTAATTTTCTGACTAGTTTCAATCGTATGTCATTTACGGTTTCTGACTTAACAATTTAATTATATTATTCAATTTCAAATGCTCTGGAGCTTTTTACCTCGATTTTTTATTTATTTTTTTTTTAAGGCAAAATGGAGAAAGCAACAATGCTTAAGGAGTAGAAGTCATAGCTGCTATCACCACACCTCGTCATCAGACTGCTTTCTCAAGATTTCAGCAGGAGTCGAACCCGCATAAGCGGTATGCAAAGTCAGCAACTAATGTAAAACCGCTGAGAGGCAACCTAAATATTTTTGACTTTTGCTAACATAAAAAAGTAAATGTTTTCAAATTTTCAGTCTCACAAATACATTCTCACTTTCAGTCTCAAATAAAAGAAAATTTTAATGATCGCTGCAAACCATTTTTTATAGTAATTTGAATTGTAGAGAAATTTTAAAGAAGTCATAAAGACCTCCTCCGATATTTTGTGGAATTTTCTAAAATGAAATAAATTGTGCAATTGTGTGATTCTTTTACAAAATTTCGGAAGAAAATAGGTAAAACAATGAAAATAATGCTGCTATGTGAAGAATTTCTTGCAGAATTTTTTCAGATTTTTTTTTTATTTTACGTACAGAAATTAAAGTTTGAAAGTGTGATTTATATGGCTTTTGTTAAAGCATGGACAATATTCTTGTATAAAAAAATATCAAAAAAATTTTAGCTTGAAAAACATTGTAAATAATAAAATCGAAACGTCATTCATTCATTTTTGACCGCCACGCAAGCAATAGCATATGCGTGAGGTTCTTTGGGAAAGAAGTAGGGTGGCATGACATGTCCTTACATGTTCACAACTCGCTAAACCATAACGGTCGACGGCAACTTTGTTTGCAGTACATGTGGAACGTCTGAATTATTTGAACATAGTCCTAAATCACTTTGTCACATTCTTCCAGTTCTCAGCTAACTTTCTAAACAAACGCCCGGGAGACTTATAAAATCGGCTGTTTCAAGGTCGCTGAGGAAAATTAAAAATAACCAAGGTAAGTAAGTATTAACCAACTGAACGACTTCCAATCTCAAATCTCAGCCATCTCTGTGAGATTGGTGAAGAAGCATTATTGCAGGTGTTTGAATTGATAGCACTTACCCATCGCCCTCACATTGACAGAAAAAGTGTGCAATATATTTCTTCTCTTCCTCATCGGTTCAGCTTTTGGAACATCGGTCCAAATCACAGCGTCTTGTAATGATGCCGGTAAGAACTTTTACTGCAGATCGGATAGATGTCAAGAGATTTTCCGTATTTTTCGGCCATAATGGCGTTGAGACCTCCCCTTTATCTCGTTAGGTCCATAAGTCATATGACCGCTAAACCATGGTTATGCTGAATTGCCTGCCTCCTGTATAGGCTTCTCAGAGCTTAAGCTGATTATCTCACACTCACCCAAAATATCTATGCTATGTGAAAAACACAGTTTCGATATATGGCCTTTGTGAATTAAGGTAACGATATGTATGCATGCAGACTTTGAGCTGCTTATTTGTTACATTCTCCAATAAAATTCGTAGCCGCATCAGCAGTGTTGCCAGAAATAAATATCCGGAATCTCCGGAACAAAGGGCTTAATAAAAATTTTAAGAGCTAAGAGAAGCGCTAGTTTCATTACTCATCAGTTTAACATTTTTTATTTATTTTAGGAGTTTCCGAAATTTATTTCTTTAGGTACATAGGCACATATGTATAATTTTCATTCTAAACAAACATTCTGAGCTTAAAACTCGTAAAGAGAAAACATAAAAAATAGATATACACATTAATAATTCATTTACGAAGAAAGGACTTCACTAACAAGTGTTCTTTTAGACTAAAAATGAAAATAAGTCTCATTTACTTTCCCAACGAAACGTTTTTGAGATATAAAAGACCTCCAAAAAAGCGAATGCAACCAATCTTTGGATACCTTTCGAAAAATATATTTAGCCTCATTGCGTTGATATATATATTTTTTTTGTCAATCGGCATAGTACTTTTTGAGTTTCATGCCTTTAAATTCGAAAGATAAGGAAATTTTGAAGATTTTTAACGGACTTCCAAAAAAGGAGGAGGTTATCAGTTCATGGGAATATTTTATTTTTTTTTTTATGTATCTTACCGCATAACTTTGGACCACGTCAACCGATTTCGATAATTTTTGCATCGGAAAGGTAGTGTCTCAGAGGTCGTCCCATACTAATCTGGTTTAGATCCGATCATTGGATCACGGAATTATATGAGAATTGAATTTGGTTTTGTTTTTTGCTTAAAAATTATGTATTCGAAAATTGTATTTGCTTGTTTTATTGACTCCTTTCAGTTGATGAGCTTTGTAAAAAGAAAAAATTAAAAAGTTAGGGCGAGGAACAATTTAATAACGAAAATATTAGACTTTTAACAAATATATAAAATCTACTAATTTAAATTTTTGCTAAAATCACTCTTTTAGTTGAAAATGTGTTTTCCACACAAACAGATGAAATGTTTAAAATTAAGTTAGGAATTTTGAAGCCTCAAAGGGCTGATTCAAATTTAATAGGACTAAAAAGAGCTAGCACGGCCACTGTGGTGTAGTGGTAAGCAGTGCGCGCTTCCACTCCGCAACACCTGGGTTCAAACCCTAGCCAAAGCAACATCGCAAAAAATATATAAAAAAGGTTTTTTCTTAACAGCGGTCGTCCCTTGGCAGGCAATGGCAAACCTCCGAGTGTAGTTCTGCCATGAACAACAGCTTCTCATAAAAATACAATCGCCGTTCGGAGTCGGCGTAAAACTGTAGGTCCCTCCGCTTTGTGTGACAACATCATGGCACACGCCACAAATCGGAGGAGAAGCGCGGCCAAACACTAACCTATGTGTAAGCGCCAATCTATTATTATTATTAAAAAGAGCTAGGGGCTAAGAGCAAATTTCTGTGGGAATTTAAAATAAAAAGAGCTAAATCTAGCCCCAAAAGCACCAAAATGGCAAGGCTGTGCATCAGTGATTGTTACTCAGAACTTTTACCGTTCGCCCGGGTATATTAAACTGTGGAAACCTTAAAAAATAGTTTCTTAAACGAGTAGAACACCAAAGAACTTAATTTTTTTAATTATTCAAAACTTTGAAGCTTACAACCTGTGGTACAGTTAGGAAGCAACGTTTATTAAGATAAAATATATATGCGTAACGGAAGAATACGAGTGGAGTACACTGGCTTCCAAATTATATTACCTAACGGTGAGCTTTTTTAAAGTATGAAACTTTGCTCTGATTCGCGGAAGTGCAAGAAACATTTCACCTGAAAACACTAGCAGTAACTATGTACATACACTGCTAGTAACAAGTACTATGTACATTAGACCGTACCACACCACAACTAAATAAAAAAAAAAAAGTTCTTAATTATTTTTGGAAGGCAATTGCGATGTTTTTTTTTTTGGTCTGAACCTAGTGATCGCCTCTTTACATTTTTTCGGCCACTGGAATTATCGAAGAACTTCCTTCGCAATGTTACTGATTTTTAATGGGCTTTAATAAACTGGCATTAGGGTGGTGCATTAGGGTGATAAGAAACTGAGGTCAATAAACTTTAGAACAAAAAATTGCCTCCTCGAGTCAAAAACATCTGTACATCGTACTTTATGTTCGGATTTTAAATGCTGAAGATAAAAGAATAATTAGAAAAGGTGACCACTACATTCGACAAAAAAGGCCTCTGAATCGAAATACTTCCTTTGCAAAAGTTTAATAATTTTTGGCGAGCTTTTATTTACTGATTTTATGGTTGTACGTTAGGGTTGTAGGAGCTGAGATCTGGTGAGTATTTAAGTATTAGAACGAGGTATTTGAGCTCAATCCGAAGATATAACGAAAAATTTAAAAAAAGGGGTTGCCACTAATTTGTATAATTCAATTCAACATAATTAAAACTTGTATCTCAATGTCAGACCAAAGAAAAACTTTAATGACATTTTGGTTTTAAAATACTTTTAAAATGGGGTTGCCACATGTTTAAAAAGTTGATTTTTTTTAGAAATTCCAAATAAAAAGTTTGCTGTTGTAAATTTTTGATGAATTTTTCTTATTTTTCTACAAGTTCGAAATCGTATGGTTTTTGTTCGAAAATGAGCTGTCTTTTTATAATCAAAATAATATAAATCTCAGGTAGCACACTGGTGTATAAC